AAAAAAAAAAAAAAAAAAAAAAAAAAAAAAAAAAAAAAAGAGACAAAAAGGAAAAAAAAAAGGGTGGACTAATCAGCGATAAGGTGGTGACACCAAAGTGACAGTCACCTGCCCCACGGTGCTGCACAAATAGATGTTTCCCAGCAATGGGACCAGAGAAAAGGGGTGGATGGAGTCAGCATGCAGACATCCTGGCATGGCACGTGGTAAGTGCAGAAGAACCAGCCATGCACCATTAGGAGCAAAGATTTAGGTTCAGACAAACAACACCATCTATACGCTGACAATTTTGAATTGTAATGATTCTGTAAGCACATAACATGTAAACCTTTTTTTTTTTTTTTTTTTTACTTTTATGAGAGACAAAATGGCAAGGAATTTAGACCTACTTTGAATTTTGTTCGTATTTAAATAATGTTAACATGAAAATAATTTAAGTCAATGCTAGTGGGAGTGAGAATTTTTCCTTGGTTTCACTATCCAAGCTTGAGAACACTGACACAGACAATTTTAGTTTTGGAACACCTGTGAACTGTACAGAAAATGAATCTTTCCTTTGATCAAAATGTACAAAAGTATAAGACCACAGAACCCTGAATTTATCTGTGAACCTCCAATCAGCAGCACTCGTTTGCAGACTTACTCTCTTGTGAGCCCTCTGGGAGCTCCAAATGCTGAGGCCAAGCCTCCACTTCAGCACCTTGAACAGCTCCTGGAGCACATCTGGTTTCCACCAGGTTTAACACACCACAGAGAGCCACTTTGCTTCCTATTTTCCAAAGAGAAAGGAAGACTTGCTGGTGGGCTGGGTGGCACGTGCCCATGGGAATGGTACTTACACAAAGAAGGGCATCAGCTGAATGAGAGTCTCTTTCTTGGGGCTGGTGGCAAACTCAGGGACAATCTGGATGACTTTGTTCATGACATTGCGCAGGTAGTTCTGAAGCTGCTTTCTTCGTTCTTCAACAAACTTGGCATCCTGAGAAATCAGACAAAACACGTGTGTTCAGGTATGCTTTTCCTTGCTTGTTCGGAAATGACCCCGCAGAACATGCAATAATCAATCATCCCCATCCAGAGGGCTAACATTTACTGAGTGATTTCCATGTGGAAATGGTCTCCAAAGCTTTACATATATTATCACATTTAATAACAGGAAAGACACTCACAATGTTATTATTATTATCATTTAAAAGCTGGTCCAAGGGCCGGCCCGGTGGCACACTGCTACAGTGTGCCACTTGGGAAGCGCGGCGGCACTCCTGCCGAGGGTTTGGATCCCACATACAGACCGGCCGCTCACTGGCTGAGCGAGGTGCGGGAGCAACACCGAGGGTTGCGATCCCGTTGCCGGTCCCGGTCCGGTATGGGCGTGACACTGAGGGTTGCGATCCGTTGCCGGTCACGAAAAAAGACAAAAAGGGGAAAAAAAAAAAAAAAAAAAAAGCTGGTCCAAAACTGCATACTGCATGTTTCCATGAATTAATTAATTAATTAATTAATTAATTAATTAATTAATGCAGGAGCAAGTGTGGCTATTATTTCTTGGGCACCTACAATATGCAAGCATGGTGCTGGGGACCACGATAGAACAATGAATGCAAATTGGCACTGCTATGGCCCTTGAGTTCACAGGCCAGTGAGAGAGACACAAATCCAGTGATCATATGGGGGATCTTCAAAAGGTTCATGGAAAATGCATATTATGAAAAAACTATGCATGGATTGTAAAAAATTTTTGCACCAAAATAAACTCATAATACCTTGCTATAACATATCTGAACAGGATCTAGTTTGAGGCACTAAGAAGGATAAGATATCAGTTTGAAAACAGTCCCTATCAGAGAAACACAAATTCTGCTATAATTGAAGTAAGAACATCAAATTTATGGTGAAGCTTGGGTGGAAGAATGGTGAAATCACTGATGCTTTACCATAAGTTTATGGGGACAATGCCCTAAAGAAATCAGCCATTTACGAATGCATGACTACTTTTAAGAAGGAACAAGATGATGTTGAAGATGAAACCCACAGTGGCAGGCCATCCACATCCATTCGCAGGGAAAAAATTAATGTTCATTATGTTGTGATGGCATGAACAAGACAGGAGGACTGATGATTAGCAGCAGACATTTCAATTGGTTCAGCTTACAGGTGGGCAAACTTTCTGATCCTTAGCACTCAGATCAGCTGGAGACAAGAGCAGAGCTATCAATGGAAATTTTAAACAAATGGCTTTACCAGTACAATCCTGAAGACAAAGCACTATCACAGCCATGGCTACCAGGCGGTGGAAGTGGTCCAGTCAAAGCAAAGCAGACTGCCAATAGCAAAGGTCACGGCAACAGTTTTTTGAAATGTTCAAGGCATTTTGCTTATTGACTTTCTGGAAGTCCAAAGAACAACAATATCTGCTTATTATGAGAATGTTTGGAGAAAGTTAGCCAATGCTTTAGCAGAAAAACACCAAGGAAAGCTTCACTAGAGAGTCCTTCTCTACCACAACAATACTCCTGCTCATTCTTTTCATCAAACAAGGGCAATTTTGCGAGAGTTTCCAAGGAAAATCATTACAAATCCACCCTACAGTCCTGATTTGGCTTCTTCTCGTTTTGCTTCCTAACCTTAAAAAATCTTTAAAGGGCACCTATCTTTCTTCAGTTAATAATGTAAAAGAGACTGCATTGACATGGTTAAATTCCCAGGACCCTCAGTTCTTTAGGGATGAACTAAATGGCTGGTATCATTGCTTACAAAAGTGTCTTAAACTTGATGGAGCTTATGTTGAGAAATAAAGTTTATATTTTTTATTTTTATCTTTTAATTCCATTTTTCCATGAACTTTTTAAGGACCTCTCAGACAAGTCAATGTATAATATTAATCTTACTAAATGCCACCCTCCAGGCAGGTATTAATTTTGCCTTCAGAGGAATTTTCCAAAATATGAATTGGTTGCCACTGATTAAGAGATTTCATTAATAAACAATTTCCACTTTCTTTTTTCGAAAGAAAGTGTCATGGCCCTACCTGCAGGGCCACTCCAGGTGAGGGCTGTGCAGCACAGCCCCTAAAGACAGTCATGGGCACCCAGGTCTGGGCCGTCTCCACCACTCAGTGCTCAGGGTCTCTGTGCTCTAGACCCTCCTCACTTGCCCCCGACCCCACCCCACCCTGTGTCTGCTTGGCCTTTGTAGGCAGGACCCGCTTCACCAGCGTGTGACCTTTATAGTCCCACGGGGCATGCACTTGGACCTGTGTGATAATCTGTTGTCCCACCTTGAAATTCTTAATAATTTGGGGTGAAGGGGCCCTATATTTTCATGTTGTCCTGGGCCCCACAAGTTCTATAGCCAGTTCTGCTTGCATGTAGCTGCACCAGTGGGCCCTGGCTTAGAAAAAAGACACCCTGGGAAGCATGGGGGCCAGGATAGGCTTTCTCTGAGAAGGTGATGCTCCTCCTGACTCACGGCCAAGCAGGATGAATAAATGCAGAGCAGAGATGGCGCAGTGGAGGAACAGGGTCACTTCAACCTCACAAGAGCATGAGAAGAAACATACTCTGATGACTTGCACATGACAAATGAGGAAACTGCAGCCTAGGGCAGGGCTGGGTAACTCCCAGGAGGTCCCGTAGATTGGGTGGAACACTTGTTCCCACTCCCCCTGTGCCGACACAAAGCTGGCCACATTAGCCCGTTTTTGTGCTGCTACAACAGAATACCTAACACTGAGTAATTTATATAAAGTAAAGAGGTTTATTTGGCTCACAACTCTGGGGAGCTGCATCTGGCACGGGCCTCAGGCTGCTTCTACTCAAGGGGGAAGGCGCAGGGCAGCAGCCAGAGGCAGGTGCAAGGTTTCGCAGTGAGAGGGGATGCAAGAGAGAGAGGGAGGGAAGTGCCAGGCTCCTTTTGACAGCCAGCTCCCGGCTGGCTGGTTGGCTCAGTTGCTTACAGTGTAGTGTTATAACACAAAGGCCCAAGGTTCAGGTCCCCTTACCAGCCAGCTGCCAAAGAAACCAAAAACCAGCTCTCGTGGAGATTAATCCATTCCTGTGGGAGCTCAGGGAAGGCGTTAATCTATTCATGATGGATCCACCCCCGTGACCCAAACCCTTCCCAACATTGCCACATTGGGGTGAGATTTCAGCATAAATTTTGGGGGGACGAACATACAAACAATATCACTGACCCAAGGCAGGGATCAGCAACAATCTGTGGAACAAGGCCACGCACTGCACTTAGAAAGCATGCCCTAGTCCCTGATGAGGAGCTCCCACAAAGCCAGGCATGGTTCTTCCTTACATGGTGCCCCGAAGCCAGGATTGGCAAACTCAACAAATGAAGATATAGAATGCCCAGTGAGATTTGAACTTCAGATAAACAACAAATAATTTTTCAGCAAAACTATGTCCCACACAAACAAACCTCCCCATGCAGTATTTGGGACACACTTACACTAAGAAATTATTGGTTGTTTATCTGAAATTCAAATTTCACTGTGCATCCTATATTTTCTCTGCAAGCCTACTCTGAGCACCAGGTGGCAGGAAGAACCACGGAGCATATGCTGCCAGCAGGGCACTGCCACTCCGGGTCACTCCAAAGATGCAGCAAGGTTTTCTCATCCAAAGCCACCCCCTGATGAGCTGCCTCAGTGGGAACCTTCCCCCAAAGGGGTAGCAGCACTTGAACTGCCACAGGTCACTCCAACGTCACCAACAGCGTAGTCCCAGGCCAGTGGCTAAAATCTCGCAGCCTGATGGGAGGTGAGCTGCATGGGAACCAGTGAAGGCATCTCGCCAAGAGAGCCAGGGGTCCTCCAGATGAAGCTGGAGCCACCTGGGCTCCGCTCACCCAGTTTGAATGCTGGGTTCTGCTCCTTGGTCTCCAAGTTTCAGCTCATCATTAAGCAACTAGTTGTTCTTCTGGGGAAAGGTGATTAATATGCCAGGTTAGTGCTGAATGTAGGTCATCAAGCCTAGTTTTTAATCTGCACAGCAACCTTCAAGGATGGCTTGAGAGGCTCTGCTTCAAAGACAGGAAGGGAGCTAATCAGCCCTAGAAAAACTTGTGGAGATTTTTTTCTGCTCAAAAAAAATACAAGGAGAGACTGGAGATGGTCCCTCATGCTGCATGCCGGGCGGGCTGGGCTGGCTACAGAGCCCAAGGAAGGTGAGGGCCCCTCAACATGGAGGTCAGAAGAATCCCTCTATGATCTGCCCGGCATTGCTTGACTAGTGCCTCCTCTCACCCGGGTTCCAGAGGCAACAGCAACTTGGCAGAGAAAGGGGTTGTCACCTGGAGGAATCCCAAATCCTGTCCAGTATTCATTCCTCAAAAGCAAATCTGGAAACCCAAGCCAGCCCTGCTCTAGGCTTTGCAACATGGCATTTGCAACATGGCAGCAATCTCAGCTTGACATCTGAGCAACTATTATCTGAGTTACTCACAACAAGCAATGACACAGTCTGGCACATCTTCATTCATGGTCTGTGCTCAGAGCTTTCCCTGAGCTGCAGACTCACGACACATCCAAGGCTGGTCACCGAAGCTCAGAAAGGGCAAGGAACTTGCCCAAGTGCTCAAAAAGAGAAGGCAGCTGAGCAGGGTCCCAGGTCCCCACCCAGTCAGCAACGATAACCTCTCTCATTATGGAAGACAACCTTCAACTGACAGAATAAAATTCTATGGGTTCCTCTCAACCAGGCTTCCCCAAGCCAGGATTCAGTTCATAGAAATTCCACTTCCGGGCCAGCTTTAGAAGCCATTGACTGTGTGAAGTGAAGAAAGCCTGTCCTCCCCTCAAGGAGTTTGTATGTGACAGGGTGGGGACAAGCAAGGGGCAAGTGCCGTGACGCTGGAATCCACAGGTGCACAGGGAAGCTGGCAGGGAAGGGTGTCTAAGTTTGCACAAGGGATAGAAAGAGGGTTTCACTCAGACGCAGCAACCCCTGGGGAAGTGGCTTCAGCCGACTC